TTCTGGTGGAACCTCTTCTAACCGGTTCGGTAGATTTGACGAACCGGTTCTACCGAATAGGTGCGAACTGGTAGGAACCCACCTCTGCTCGCCACCCTTCAGACTTTCCGTAAAGCCGTTAAGATCTGGCTGTCCCAGCAGGCCTGGGGCTGTTGAGTTCCACCCCTACTCGAACTGGTTGTCCTTGTTGTGACTTTTAAATTGTTTTGTATTGTTGTTCTGTTTTTGTTTCACTTTTTTGTATTTGTTCCCCTCCCTTCCGGTTTGTCAGCCGCCCTGAGTCCCTCCGGGAATAGGGCGGCATACAAGTCGAATAAACCACTAAACCACTAAACCACCACTTCTTTTGCTTCTCTTTTTTCTTCTTTCATTGTAAGATTGGGCGGCCTATAAATTTAATAAATGAAATGAAATTTAATTTAATAATAAATGAAATTTTAGGGGGAGGTCTTATTATTTTTGAGGTGCAGGAGAGCGTGGTCATCTCATGGCTGCTGCTGTGTTGTAATATTTTCAGGGGGGCTTAGTTTTTTTGGGGGGGGCTTATTTTAGCGCATGCGCTCAAAAGCCTGATTGGGCTTATTATCCGGGGAGGTCTTATTTTCGGGGAAAACAAGGTATTCTTGTAACAATTATAAGAATGTACATCTAAGAATGAATTTGAAAGGAAAAATAAAAAAAAATCTTTTTACAAAAAAAAAGGGGGGGACCGTCCGTAAGTCTTCTACATTATGTTCTACAGATGGCCCAGATACCCCTGTGATCAAGATGACCGCCATGTTCCTCACCCAACGCTCCAACCGCCGGCTGAACTGCAGAGCCAGCTCGTTCCCTGAAGCCGAGTATCGTTGGTTCCAGAACGGGAAGGAATTCAGCAAGAACGCGGACGTTCTCCTCAAGAACATCCAGTCAGGGACGTATACTTGCCAGGCCACCAACCCTTTCACCCAGCAGAAGGAAAACACCACTTTGGAGATTGAATAGCGGCTGCCCCCAGCCACGATCAGGGCCTGTTGTCGTCCTTTACGACCACGTTTCCGCGGCCGGAGACTTTTCTGTGGTGTCTGCTACACAACTCCAATTGAATTGGCTTGCTTTGGCGTGCCCCGCCTTCTCCGAGATGGGTTGTTTTCTTGCAGATGTTTCATGACCCAGCTAGGTAACTTCATCAGTGCTAGAAGGGAAGGGGGTTCGCTCTCTGTTTATATATCGCACTCTCTTCTAGCACTGGTGATGTTACGTGGCTGGATAATGGAACGTCTGCAAGAAAACAACCGAGCGCAGAGAGTACGAATAAACTCACAGTCCTCCTCCTCCTCTTCCTCTTCCCTTCCCTCCTTCTTCTCCTCCTCCCCTTCTGCTCCACCACAAACCCCATTTCTAGCACTGATGATGTTACCTAACTGGGTCGCGAAATGCCTGAAGAAAACAGCCAAGCTCAGAAAGAACCAAGGAACCCCACAGTTCAGCTCCGATCGACAAATATTCTCTCTTATTGCTATTCCTTATTTGAATGCTCTAATTATCTGTTGGACCTGCCTAGGTCATTCCTGAAATATTCATATTTGAATATTTCTCATTCATTCGATGTAGCTTTTCTCTTGAGTAAGGCGCAATGATTACAAATGGGATGAATAAATGGTAAATAATACTCCGTTCTAAAAAAGTTAGTTAAAAGAGCTGAGGTATTTTGCCATATGCCACACCCAGCCCCAAAGAGCCGAGGTGGCGCAGTGGTTAGGGTGCAGTACTGCAGGCCACTTCAGCTGACTGTTATCTGCAGTTCAGCGGTTCTAATCTCACCGG